GTTTTGTACACTACCTTCCTCGATATTTGAGCTCATCCCTGAAAGAAATGAACAATAAAACCAGTTAAACATATCAATAAAATTGAACTACTTGTATGAATTGACTTTTCGTTACTGCAATTTTCGTTTGTCACGGTCACGTGTAGTGGTTTTCTAAAATTATAATTATATATATGTAAAGATCCTCATGATACTTGTCTATATCAAAGCTTCTCAAATTTACGTTAGCGTCTATTTACTACTACGAAGAAACGAACGTGAAAGGTTAAAGAGCAATAAAAATCAAAAGTTTAAATCGCATAATTGACCAAACGAGGGCTAACCGCAAGGAAAACAAACATATCATATCCAAATGTTTGAATGGCATTGAGACAAACATATATTAATGAGCATATGGCTGAAAGAAGTCGTTATCAAGTTATTAAATGAGGATCATTCGAAGGTCACATGCCATAATCCTGATCGAAAGTGCCATGTAGTTCTCTAATCCATTTTCACTGAGCAGCACTCTTTGGTCTGCAGTGGAAACATATTCACGTGACTTTACTTATTGTTGCGTTTGACCGTTAACGACGGAAGCTCTGTTCATTTCATACAAAACTTCCAATAACACTATATGAAACTAAATCGTGTATCGAAGCAAGCAACGTTTCAGTTTGGCTTGATTAATCAGAAATCCTGAGCTGATTCAATACAGGGATAGCCTTTCTTCCCGACCCTAGCAAAACGTCGTCAACAGGATTAATACCATTCAGGAAAAGCAACTGAAAATTATTAGACGCTGGAACCAATCTGATAATTTGACAAGTAAAATAAATCAACGTACACTGTTTGTGCGCAATTTCATAATTTTTCCTAATAGACACCATCGGCTCAACAGATCGATCGCGATGGATTAAAATTTTTGCATAAATCTATCGGAGAAGCATTTCTCAGAAAGCCAAGTAGGGACAAAAACTAGAGAGGAAGAAAGTTTTTGAAAATCCTTGAAAACAACTGATGCATAATTCCACGTTTAATGAATTATCCCATTTTGGAAACAGTTATGTGATTCTTGAAATGCGACCATGTATAAAACTTAATACTGCATTTTAATTTGACTACGGTAAAATGGATGAAAGTATGGTGGGAAGGTCGGGATATTCGCAACCTCATTAACATGAGACATGTGTGATACCAGTCAAACCTGCGGCTGAATTTTCATAACGTTCACTGTCTGGCTAACCGTTTCATTACGGTGTCTGCGCGACTTGAGGTCAGAGTATATCAGGCTTGGATGTCAGGTCGGTCGCTTATATTTCATTTTTTATGACTTCTAGTAAATGCCACTACGTTGCATAAAACATTACCTTACACGCTACTGTGGTCGCTTAGTTCCACATAACAAAAGAAATAAAATCTCGCTGATCACATCGACATAGAAATCAGTATGCTATTAAGAGCTATGCGAAGGAAAGGAGGCTACGGTCACATTCTTTGCGGAAATGCGAAACAATACGGAGGTCCCAGTGCATTTCAGTAAACTTCTCTATGGATTATTGCCTAAACTGTTGTACAAATGATGTTACCCGGTGCGATGTCTCTGATGTATCGTATTCCAATTCGTCTGTCCTATTATTGCTCTGCCCTTTTGTAAGCGTGGGACATGTAGCACGGGTCACTGATACGTTATACCAAGGAGTTGCAATGCAGCATCTACCAGATGTCACTCCCTGCTACAGCAGCGGTCGCGTTTTTCGTTGCAGGCAGAACTTCTTACTTTCACTATTCGCATTTAATGACTTTCTGATAAAAATTTATACAGAAAAAAAGCCTTAGAGATTTCCACTCTGTTAATGGGTGTTTTAACTTTTTCGTTACTGGTCGTGTTTTTTCAAAGGAGGGTAAAAATATTTTAATGGTATCTGCAGATAGCGCTGAAGGGCGTCTGAAGGGCTTCTGTCAATTCGGCGTCAGCATAGTCAACAACGGGTTTCAGGCGATCCTTCCTCGGTCCTCCTTTCAAGCTAACCGCCGCAGATCTATAGGCATCACTATCAGATCACTGGCAACCAGAGATGTACTCCATCTTCAATTAACTGTCAAAGTGGGAAACCGCGTGACCGACGTGCGAAATGTAATTAGCATTACTAGCTACCCATTTGTCACAACTACGACCAGTCATTGAAGAA